AGCTCCCAGTGGTAAATCCTGGTGATTAGTGATAGTTTGACCAACTCTTGGTACTGCTTCTGAAAATTGGCTTCTGAAAGAGCTCCTTCTCACTAAGAATCAGCAAGACTTGTAGAAAGAGGTAATGCTATGACTCTTTGAATTTTTTTTAAGATTTGGGAATATGCAAAAAATTTGATCAGACCTTTGTTAACCGGCGTGCTACCAGGCTAAGAATGGCTGTAGTTAACCAAGTGTGTAGAATTGGTTGTAATACTTTGGGGACCGTAGACTCCTTTCAGTTTTAGTGGGTTCATGACTTCTCATCTTTTCTTCCATCTCTCTCTCTCTTTCTTTTTTTTTTTTTTTTGGCAGTTTTTGGCTGGGGCTGGGTTTGAACCCGCCACCTCCGGCATATGGGGCCAGCACCCTACTCCTTTGAGCCACAGGCACAGCCCTCTCCCATCTCTTAAGAACCCCAGGGGGAAAAAGATGAATGACAGAGAGGGAGAGTAAAGCTTAATTTTTAAGCTTACATGATAAACTGAATTATTTAGATTGTGATAGATTTAAAGAGGACTAGGAGTGATTCCTTGGTCATGTGGTTCTTTTGGACTGTGGAAGTACTTAGTGGAATGCCTGGAGTAGCTGTGTAGTTTGCAGTGGAGAACTGGTGGGATGTCAGAGGACATTGCTCAAAACTGGTAACGTTTGTTACCTTACCTGATACTATGATGATAAGCTTTTAAAATTCTCCAGAATTTTGTACAGTTCCAAAGAATGTGATCTATACTGTATAAGTTGTCTGAGCTTTGGTTGACATCCTTTTAGCTGTAAGTTGCTTCCTCCTTTTGGTTTCATTTCCTGAAAGATAGTGCTGTTGTTCTAAGAAAAAAAAGAAGAGAGAAAAAGACAGAGTCTCACTATGTTGCCCTCAGTAGAGGGCCATGGCCTCAACCAAGAACAACCTCACTCTTAGGCTTAAGCAATTCTGTTGCCTCAGCCTCCCAAGTAGCTGGGACTATAGGTGCCCGCCACAATGCCTGGCTGTTTTTTGTTGCAGTTGTCGTTGTTTAGCTGACCTGGGCTGGGTTTGAATCTGCCATATGTGGCTGGCGCCGTAACTACTGTGCTACGGGCACTGTATATTATTGTTTGGATTATTGCAGTACCTGGATGAATTAGGTGAGTTATGGAACTTACTGAAAATATGGGGAGGCGGAGTGGAAGTGCCTTCCTCTTTTATTTTCTTCTCAGAACTGTGGCGTTTTTATAGAAATGCCTGTGGATCAGAAATACCACCCAGTGTAAGGGATATAACCCTTTATATCTGATGTGGGGCTGTCTTAGATATGGGTGGAAAAATTAAGTAAAAGACAATACAGGTAACTGGTGAAGGGCCAGTGTACTAGCATGTAGTTAATTTATTCATTTTATAGGTGGTGAAACATTTTAATTTTTGGAATAGACTTGTGATTGTGGACAGAACTTTTATATAAGGGACATCTCATAAGCCTCTGACTAGCCTATTATTAGTTGTCTTGGGTTCAGGCTCCCTGCTCTTGTTTGAGTCTGCCCCGTCCAAGGTAGTAGGGTCTTATAGTACAAAGTATGGAGACTTGTCTATAAAGAACTTCCTTTGGCAGCTTCCTCAGAAGGGGCCTCTGGACATGTGTACCAGCTGATGGGAGTGTAAGAAACTGGTACAAAGGTTCCCATTACCTCTCCTAGAAGCCTAGCAGTTATCCTGTCCATACCTTTGGTGTCAGCTGTGCCTTCATGCTAATCCTCTCAGGCCCTTCTCCTAAGCTATAGTAATATAGAGTTTACTTATGACTCCACATCTTCACCTAAATTTCTCATAGATTGAAAAAAATCTCTGCAAGGTATGAAAACCAAACTCATAAGTTTTCTCTCCTCCCCCAAACTTGCACATTACCCTAAATATTCCTCATCCCATGGATTGACAGTGGCCAGGCACCAGTGGGAGTCATTTTTGATTTCTTGTTTTGTTCCTTTACTCCAACCCTGTCCCGAAGCAGACACAGCACAGACACACACACACAGACACATGATTATGTAATCAGCTACTGTTGTCCCCAGATGAATGAAAACAAAACAAAAATTAATTAAATTACTCCTCAAATTAAAAAAATTTTGGTAGCTTCCATGTAGCTGTGGGTAAAGTTCAAAGTAAAATAGTGTAGCCTGCAGGATTGCCCAAATTTGACCCTTTTTTTTCTCACCAGCCTCATCACCCACAACTCATGTATTTTTTTGCATTCTCACCATCTATGCATTTTGCCTGAACAACTCCCCATCTGGAGTAGCTTTTTTTTTTTTTTTAAAGAGACATAGTCTTACTTAGTTGCCCTCAGTAGAGTGTGGTGGGGTCACACAGCTCACAGCAACCTCCAGTTCCTGGGCTCAGGCGATTCTCTTGCCTCAGCCTCCTGAGTAGCTGGGACTACAGGTGCCCGCCACAACACCTGGCTATTTTTTGTTGCAGTTTGGCCAGGGCAGGGTTTGAACCGGCCACCCTTGGCATATGGGGCCAGCCCCCTACTCACTGAGCCACAGACGCCACTCAGGAGTAGCTTTTTTCACTTACATGCCTTGGTTCTTGTTGAAACCACTGCTTGGAAGCCTTCCCTTGAATCAATCTGAAATTCCTATAACTCCTATTGTTAGATCCTCTAGGCCAGGAGTCCTCAGACTTTTTAAACGGGGTCAGTTCACTGTCCCTCAGACTGTTGGAGGGCTGGACTGCAGGCCCTGGGATGAATCGGCTGCTAAGCAGGACAGGCAGTGGTGGCAAAAAACACCTGGCAGGCCAGATAAACGTCCTATGCACGCTGCATGTGGCTGTGGGCTGCAGTTTGAGGACGCCCTGCCCTAGGCAGACCAACACCGTCCCTATATGGACTTTTGAATACTTGGTCAGTATTACTTTGTTGTGTTATAATTATTCTTTTTCTCTACTCACTGTTATTAAAGACAAGAAACAGGTCTTGGTCATTTTTCTATCTCCAGCACCCAAACATTATTTAAATGTTTGTTGAACTGATATGTTTGAAGGGTCTTTCTAGGCAGAAACATCAGTCCTTAAACATTTGCTTAAATGCCTTCATTATGGGAGGAGGAAGAGGCAGTTACACCTGCCCTCTGCGACCCTGCCTAGTCTCCAGGCAGTAGTTTCCAACCCTGACCAGAATAACTTGGAGAGCATTCCTACTCTCCACACCTTCCAGATGAAAGACGGCAAAATGTGACCTTCTAGGTCCTAAAGTGAGACCTTTTGACTGAATACAAATTTTTCAGAACAAATCCTTTTATGAAAGAGATGCAGCAGAGAAGGATGAAGCTTTTCTTGGTGCTTAAAAAAGAAGAATCTTGAAATCAGAAGGCAGTAGTTTCCCCAGCTCTGCCAGGAAGGACAAGAGATGTCAGGGAAACCTTTCTGAGGAAGCTACTTCGAGGTCTAGTGGGAGTTAGTCCTGATGAGGAGGGGGATGGTGGGAGTCAGAGCAGCATTGCAGGAGGAGGAAATGTGATGAGGGAAGGCCCTGAGCGTGTTCAGAGAACTGAACAAGGCCTTGTGCCTGGAACTTGGAGGGAGAGTGTTTCTCATCAGGTGTCTGTTTTTATTCCTGTATAGGATAGGAATATGCCACCTGTCACGCTGTTTGTATTGACTCCCTACCACTAGAAGCTCCTTGATGAACAAACTGTATTTTGTTTGTGGTTGAAACTGTAGCATCTAGCATCTAGAAGGAACTCATTAAATAGTGGTGATCAAGTAAACAAGTCTCTGCCTAGAGGGGCTCAATTCAGAGTAGAAGATGGGAAAGAATATTAATAATTATGAAATAGGATAGTGACTTAAGAACGCTTTAATTCTAAGAACCCTTAATTCAAACAAAATCTTTTTTTTTTTGAGACAGAGTCTCAAGCTATCCTCCTGGGTAGAGTGCCATGGCATCACAGCTCACAGCAACCTCCAACTCCTGGGTTCAAGCGAGTCTCCTGCCTCCGCCTCCCAAGTAGCTGGGACCACAGGCGCCCACCACAACACCTGGCTATTTTTTGGTTGCAGCCGTCATTGTTGTTTGGTGGCCCCTGGCTGGATTCGAACCCGCCACCTTAGGTGTATGTGGCTGGCACCTTAGCCACTTTGAGCCACAGGCCCAGAGCCAATTCAATCAAAATCTTATGCAAAACCCTGATACAGACCAAACTGCTAAGTTGTGTGTGCGCGCATAGGGAGTATTTCTCAGTCAGCTCTCTCCCCAGCCTGTGCCTCTGTACAGTTAACTGTCTCTTCATACCCCTCCTTGGGTAATTCCTGCTATCTCTTCTTTCAGATGTCTTGACCCCTTTTCTCTTCTGTCTGCTCTGAGGTTGGTTGTCTGCCTGGTCCTCCCAATATCTGGGGCATCTCTTTCTTTATAGCACATATTGAACTGCATCAGTGATTTTGTGTTTTTTTTGAGACAGAGTCTCACTGCGTTGCTCTTGGTAGAGTGCTATGGCATGACAGCTCACAGCAACCTTGGGCTTAAAACGATTCTCTTTCATTAGCCTCCCAAGTAGCTCCGACCATAGGCGCCTGGCCATTATTTTGTTATTGCTGTCATTGTTGCTGAGCAGGCATGGGCGGGGTTCAAACCCACCAGCTTCAGTGCATGTTGCTGATGCCCTACCACTGAGCTATAGGTGCTGAGCCAGCCTCAGTGATTTTAAGCAGAGTTTTGAGAAGGCTTCTACCTGGCTTTGCCATTCCACTCTAGTATCTGACATTTTTTTAGCACCTAAATAAAGTTTGAGAGGGGCAGAATCCAGGAGATCCCATATCAAAGGAATGAATTTTGAGGGTAGAAAGAGAAGGAAAGAGGGTGTGATGCCACATTATAGATTGGGGCTTCTGAGGGCATTCCTGCTAACAGTCATTATCGTGGAGATTAGCTGACAGGTGAAAGCAAGGTGGGATAAGAATAGGTGTGCAATAGTCTTGCAAGCTCTGTGGAGTTAGTGAGTTGGGAGGCTTTCCAGAGAAATATAGGATCATTAGGAGGCATTATGTCCCTTTGGAAGTTGTTGATAATGCCTCGTTAATGGCATACATGGGTCAGCCTTTGATTTTTTTTTTTTTCCTCTTTCAGTAATGCTGAGCTGTTTGAGTATAGATCTGAGAAGATCATTGGGTTAGGTCAGCCAGAGTTGAATTTTATTAGGGGACAATGTAAAAAGGACTCCTAAAAACCAAGGGTGTGGATAAAGAAGGAAGTGAATGTGGGGTGAAGAAAGCAGTGGGTATTTAATTAAGCTGAAAATAATTTCAAAAAGTAATTAATTAGGGCCATAGAGATACTGTGACCTCAGAGGACAGTCCCATTAAATTAATGCAAGAGAGTGGGTGGAAAGTCCCACAAGGTTGAGGATTCAGGGGGCTTTACCCACTGAGCCTGAGATCCAGGGGGCACATTTTTGTTAATATAGGCATTTTAACAAGATAGATTCTGACTGTCCCATCCCGCTCTGTCATTTACTAGCTGTATGACCTCAGTTATTTATGTAATATTTTCATATCTCAGCTTCTTCATCTAGAAAATGGGTATAAAAGTTCCTAGTAGTACTGTTTTGAGGATTAAATGAGCTAATGTTTGTACAGCACTTTGATAAGTGCTACCACATAGGAAGCATATACAAGTATATATTAAATAACAATATTGCCTTCCCCATCTATGTAATTTTTTTTTCTTTTTTTTGCAGTTTTTGGTGGGGGCTGGGTTTGAACCTGCCACCTCCGTCATATGGGGCCAGCGCCTTACTCCTTTGAGCCACAGGCACCCCCCCATCTATGTAATTTTTATATAGTTCATCAGAAGCATATCATTCTTAGCTGGGCATTGTGGTAGGCACCTGTATCCCAGCTACTTGGAAGGCTGAGATAAGAAAATTGCTTAAGCCCGAGTTTGAGGTTGCTGTGACACTACGGCACTCTGCTGAGGGTGACAAAGTAAGACTCTGTCTCAAACAAAACAAAACAAAAAAGCATATCATTCTTCTGATGTCTAGCAACCATTTCCACCCCTTCCCCCGTTAGTGTACTCCATAGTTAAACTTCACCGTATGTGCAGTTGACTAGTCTTCTGTACATTTTTGATTCAAGTAGAAACTTTTTTGTTAGATTTGTAAGTCTGTGCTAAATCACTTAGAAAAGCATATTTTAAATGTCTCTTTTTAAAATTTTATTTTAGCTGTTAAACGTTTAATGAAAGAAGCGGCAGAATTGAAAGATCCAACAGACCATTACCATGCACAGCCTTTAGAGGTCAGTGTCCATCTCCAGATCCATCATATGGACTTTGATACTCTAATTTACAACATTCTTTAAAGTTGTTTTTCTTGTTTTGAGTCATTATAGATGTGTTTGATGTGGTTTGTTGATATGTTTTATTCCCTGTATTTCACGACTATTTCATTAGCCAGTCAGACATTTTGGAAGAACCAGATTTCTAATCTGTATAAAATGGGTCTCAGATGCTAGGTTGGAGATAGTGGGTGTTAGGTCTTAAGTTGGTGTTAGGTATTGGGTATGAGGGAGGGGAAGTGAAAAGAACCCCAGACTCTACAGTGTGGAAGGCCAGCTTCTTGAGGAATCTCTGCAGCTACTCTAGTCTTTTTGTACAAACATTTCTGCTCTCTTCAGTTTTCTCATCTGTAAAAGGAAGTATGTGCCCAGTTAGGTTGTATGGTAATTGTGAGAATAAAAATAATGTATGTTTTTTGCAAGTATTTTGCAAGCTGAAAAGTAAGATGACATTAATGTCAAATGTGTTGCTATTACTGACCATTTATAAATAAGCTCTTTTTTTTCCCAGTGTTTTTCTTTTTCTTTTCTTTTTTTTTTTTGGTTTTATATACAATTTGAAGTATTTTCATCAAACTAGTTAACATAGCTTTCATGGCATTTTCTTAGTTATTGTGTTAAGACATTTATATTCTACATTTAGTAAGTTTCATATGTGGTCCCACCAATATAAATAAGCTCTTATGTATCTGTAAGGGATAATTTTTAAAGATTGGTTAAAATAATGTAAATTTATTATAGTATTTTTTTATTATATGATAATTATTATTAATTGGTATTCTTTTAAGGATTAATTTCCAGTTTAATTAAAACTACAATTTTATTTATGAATATATAACAACACTCAAATTTTTAATGCATTTATTTTTAAAAGATTTTAGTTTTTATGGGACATGAAAGTTGGATTAAGTAGCTTTTATTTATAACTTTTGTTTGTAACTTTTATTCTTTTATTTTTGACTTTTGTATTTTATTTCATTTTTTTTTATTGTTGAGGATTCATTGCGGGTACAGAGAACCAGGTTACACTGATTGCATTTTGTTAGGTAAAGTCCTTCTTATAATTGTGTAACTTTTATTCTTAAGACATCTTTTACATTAGAAAGTATCCTAGCAATAATATGAACCATGTTCTTGCCCAGTAATATTTCTAATATTCATATTGATAAAAATAATCAAATTTTTGTTGATTGCTTTTGATTGTTTTTGTGTTGTTCAGGATAACCTTTTTGAGTGGCATTTCACAGTTAGAGGGCCCCCAGATTCTGATTTTGATGGAGGAGTTTATCATGGGCGGATAGTACTGCCACCAGAATATCCCATGAAACCACCGAGCATTATTCTCCTAACGGTAAGAATTCTTGACTTTTTGGAAAGCTTGTGTCTTAACTCTTCCTGGTAGTTGTAAAATATAGTCAGCATCGTCATTTTCATTAGGAAATAAAGTGGAACGTTATTATGATACCTTTGGGGTCAAGGCCCTGGAATTGAAATTTTTTTCCTCCAAAATAATTCCTAGGAAACTGACCCATCTGAGAAATGCTAATAATATTAGCAGAAGTATAATGTCATGACATGTGTGTCAGGATTCAGTGAATTAATGTGTGCAGAGTGCCGGGCACACTGTCTCTGGCACTTACTGTGCTCAGTAAAGGGTAGCTAAGCCTATTGTGCCTCATAGCAGGTTATCCCCTTCAGCTTCCCACCTTTCTTTCACCCTTCTTTGGTTTCCTTCCCTATAATGAGAATAATGATACCTACCTCACTGAATCTGTATGGGATTGAAAGTGTCAGTATCTTATTATATGCCTGTTAGAACAGGGCTTGGCCAGGAGTCCTGGATAAATGTTAGCTGTACTATAACTATTTATATATCAGAATTTCTCTCTATCTGCAAATATTTTACCTTCCTGTGAAAGAAAACTTTTGATCTAATTTCTTTCTTTTTTTTTTGAGACAGAATCTTTGTCATCCTCAGTAGAGTGCTGTAAGGTCATAGCTCACAGCAACCTCCAACTCTTGGGCTTAAGAGATTCTCTTACCACAGTCTGCCAAGTAGCTGGGACTACAGGTGCCTGCCACAATGCCCGGCTATTTTTTTGTTGTAGTTATCATTGTTGTTTTCGCAGGTCCAGGCCGTATGCGAACCTGCCAGCCCTGTTCTATGTGGCCAGCACCCTAACCACTGAGCTATGGGTGCTGAGCCAATGCCCAGCTATTTTTAGAGACCAGGTCTCACTCTGGCTCAAGCTAGCCTTGAACCTGTGAGCTCAGGCAGTCCACCCACCTTGGCCTCCCAGGGTGCTGGGATTATAGGCGTGAGCCACGACTCCTGGCCTCTTTCTTCTTAATTGTTAAGGAGAAATTGTTAACCTTTCCCCTCTTAATTCCTTTAATTTATAATTATGTTTAACTCTCCTCTAACTTTGAAAAAAAGCAAAAACAAGCCCCAAATCCTTTTTTATCTATTACCACTATAAGCTATTCCTGTTTTTTTCTTGGTAACCTCCACAACATCCTTCCTGTGGGGAAGGGCCTGCACTGCGCTCTGAGGAAATGTGTACTACAGGAGGGCGCCTCCAGGACCCTGCTCCAGCCCAAGTGCCGGTATTAACAGTTCTTAGTACCACCTAATACTTGTTAAACAGCATCTGTATGCCAAGAACTTTATAGTGTTTACTGTACACAACACTCCTTTTGACAGAAAACTGAATTGCAGGGACATTCTGTAACTGGTCTCAGAGTGAGAAAGCTTACTGCCTCTTCTCAGTTTCCATCCTGCTCCGTCTAAGCAAAATATCTCACCCATAAGGTGGCAGAGGGCATGAGAAAAGGATGTTCATCAGTACATTTCAATTAATTCTGCTTTAACTTAAATTTGGTATAATGGAGACGTGTTTGTTTTAGAGCCTGCTCTTTCCATTACATCATGGTCAGGTTATAGAATGTCCTTGAAAAAGGAGTATTGTGTTCAGTAAATACTATAAAGTTCTTGGCATACAGATGCTGTTTAACAGGTATTAGGTGATACTAAGAGTTGTTAATACCAGCAATTGGGCTGGAGCAGGGTCTTGGAGGCGCCCTCCTGTGTCAGGAGTCCCTTCATTTAGTTGCTCGCTCCTGGGGAGAGCCAGTGACCTGGGAGGGCCCTGGTGCATAGGGAAACTATTGGGGTGGGCCCGTAGGTAGCAGCAGCTCCTTACCAACACAGACAAAAGTGTTTCAGTAGCTGTGTTTACTGCACTGGCTAAGAATCAGCCCTGCCCTTCTGATATTCAATATTGCATCCTTTCTGGCTGGCCCCCTCTTTTGAAAAGGCTTCTCCAACTTTCATTTAACAGTTTTTTAGACGTGTCATGTTGCAGCGGAGAGTCAAAGTCTGTGCCCTGATGGAGCTGTGTTCTGACTTTGTGCCGCCTCTTCTTCACTCTTTCTCTACAAATTCAGACGTTAGCTGTTTTATTTCTATGAAATGACATCAGTGATCACTTCTGAAGAGAGGTACCAGAAGTATCTTTGTCTGACGTAAGCCGCTTACTTTTCTACCTGCCTTTTGGACATACCCAGTAGCTTTCCTTCCAGCTGAGTGCAGTGGGTGTGTCTGTAGTCCCAGCTATTTCAAAGGCTGAGGTGAGGGGATCGCTTGAGCCTAGGAGTATCAAGATCCTGTCTCTAAAAAGAAAAAAAAAGATAGCTTTCCTAAGTCCAAAATTGAAAGAATTATTTCTGATCTTCTTCTTCTGAGTTTCTATCTTATTAAATAGTATCATTTTAGGTTGGGCTCCGTGGCTTATGCTCAAGCCTCTGGGAGGCTGATGTGGGTAGATTGCTTGAACTCACCAGTTCAAGACCAGCCTGAGCAAGAGCGAAAGCATGTCTCTACTAAAAATAGGAAAACTAGCTGGGCATTATGGAGTGTGCCTGTAGTCCCATACACTGGAGAGACTGAGGCAAGAGGATTGCCTGAGCTCAAGAGTTTGAGGTTACTGTAAGTTGTAATGCCATGGCACTTGTACCCAGGGCAAAAGAGCAAGGCTATGTCTCCAAAAAAAAATTTAAAAAGACAAAACCCAGCATCTTTCTTCTGAAAATCACTCCTCTCTCAAAATCTTTCTCTCTATGCCCTCCCTCACCAACACTTAAGTCTTTATGTGTTAAAATTTGTATTTCAGTTGTGTAACTCAGTTTCAAAAGGTGCTATAACACTTTTTAAAAACAATTTTAATATTCATCCAGCATCCAACAAATATTTTTGGAGTATTTATAAGAAGACAGAAATCTGTGTTTCCTCAGGTGTTGCATTCTTAAAAAATTCTTTAAAAATTAATCTTTAAAATTATTATTTGTTTATAAATTATAAAAAATATACCTTAAAAGTATAAAACATTAAACACATATGTAATTTTTAAAATGCATTATTTATTCCTAAGGCTAATGGACGATTTGAAGTGGGCAAGAAAATCTGTTTGAGCATCTCAGGACATCATCCTGAAACTTGGCAGCCATCATGGAGTAGTAAGTATTAATTTATTATAAATCTCTTATGATCTTAGTCAAATAATAGTTACTTTTGTAAAGCAGCTTACATTGATGTTTACTTTTTCTATTTCAGTAAGGACAGCGTTATTAGCCATCATTGGGTTTATGCCAACAAAAGGAGAAGGCGCCATAGGCTCTCTCGATTACACTCCCGAGGAAAGACGAGCACTTGCCAAAAAGTAAGTTTTGTATTCCCTTCTTTGTTAAGGCCTGAATATTATTCTGGGTAATGGGTCTTAGGAGATAGGCTCTTCTTACTGCATGACTTACCTTCTGAGTTATTGTGGGTACAGATCTTAGCTTTGCTATTTTAGAAATTCAGTTAAATTTCAGTATAGAAACTCAGTATAATTTGCTTGAAGTGACCAGAATTTAAATAATTGATTTCATGCTGGTTTTAAGAAGTAGTTGGTAATATTCCACTCAGATTTATTTTGTTAGAGTGGGAGATACATTCTCTAGGAAGGCAATACTGGTTATTTGTCTACATTTGGATGGTGTTACAGATGGCAAAGAACTAGTGCAGTATTTATATGTAGTGTCCACAAGATTGAAGAGTCCTTGAGGGCAGACAGGGAATCCACTTGACCCATCTTTGTATCTGTCTTATCTAGCTCATAGCAAGTGCTCAGTGAATGATCTGGAATAAAGCGAAGGAGATTCTCTTTATTGAGCTGTGATCACCCACCTGGGGGTTGGTATTGATGTCTCTGTTTTTTTCCAGGTACATTTTTGTTGGTAAAACCAAGATTAGTTACTCAGTTCAGGGTATCTTCTCTTTGAGTAGTGCTGAGATCTAATTCTTAATTTTGATAATCTTTCTGTTCTAGAGTCTGCTGGCTACCATCCTTCAGACATAGATTATTAGTTAAATTATAGCACACTTTACCCTAGCATGGTCCAGAGTAGGCCCTCCACAGATTTTCTTTACTTTTCCTTTTTTTTTTTTTGAGACAGAGTCTTAGTTTGTTGCCCTGGGTAAAGTGCCATGGTATCATAGCTCAGGGCAATGTCTAACTCTTGGGCTCAAGTGATCCTCTTGTCTTAGCCTCCAAGTAGCTGGGACTATCGGTACCTGCCATAACACCTAGCTATTGGTTTTTTTTTTAGAGACGGGGATCTCACTGTTGTTCAGGCTAGTCTCCAACTCCTGAGCTCAAGCAGTCTACCTGCCTTGGCCTCCCAGAGTGACAGGATAACAGGCATGAGCCATCCCGCCTGGCCTCGACAGATGTTTGTTATCAAATAGATTTTAGCATCTGGAAGATTTAGTAGACTGCTTGGTCTCATCAGCAACTTTTATTTTTAAACCTTATTTCCAAATCACTACTCTTCACAAATTACAATATCTACTTTGAATACATAGAATTTGGTTTTTATTTGATTCCCTGTGTCTATCTTGATAGTTTTATCTAGTTGATTTCATGTACAAGGCAAAAAAAAGAACTTGAGTTCCTTTTTTTCCTTAGGCTTCTCACTGTATACGGTGTATATTGTAGGATCTTGGGCCTTTTAGAAAATGGTTTTGCATTTAGCCATGGCAGCATACTATACCAGGCTTATCTAAATAAATACATTCAAAATAAATAACTGTCCTTCCTTTCATCTGATTTCTCAGTTAAAAGTGAATACATTTTAAGGTACATAACTTCTGTACAACCAGTTCTCAAAGGGATATGAACAACAATGCTGCTTTGGGTAAAACAGAACATCATTTATTGTGCCAGGTGTGGTGGGTCACTCCTGTAACCCCAGTACTTTTGCAGGCTGAGGTGGGAGGATTACTTGAGGCCAGGAGTCCATAGCCAGTCTAGGCAACATAGTGAGACCCCATCTCCAAAAAAAAAAAAAAGTTAGCTAGATGTGCTGTCACACACCTACAGTCCTTGCTACCAAGGAGGCTGAGGTAGGATAATGGCTTGAGCCCTGGAGTTCAAGGCTGCAGTAAGCTGTGATAATGCCACTGTCCTCTAGACAGGGTGACGGAGTAAGATCCTATCTCAAAACAACAACAGATGAGTAAAAAAAAAAAATTATTTATCATTAATAAATACTAAAGTAATGCTACTCTAACATATATTTTATTTTTGTTGTACTATTTCACAAATTTAAATAGCAAATTCATGAAGACCTAAGGCTTTTGAATTTTACTGAACTAGAAACACTATAAAAATTTTTTTAAGTTCAACAACGTAAGAATATACATATATTTCTACATATTATTCATGTACTCTACATTTACTTTCAGTCATTCAAATTCTCATAGCACTCTAGTGAGCATGAGGGTAATTTTTGACTATACCCGGAATACAGTGGTTTCCTTTTGGAAAACAAATGTATCTTAGGAAATAGTCTAGTTCTGTGGTCCTCAGGCTCTGGGCCATGGACTGGTACCAGTCTGCGGCCTGTTAGGAACTGTGTCTCAGAGCAGGAGGTGAGTGGAGGTGAGCAGTGAAGCTTCATCTTTATGGATAGCCACTCTGTGTCACTGCATCATGACCTGAGCCCCGCCTCCTGTCACATCAGCTGCGGCATTAGATTCCCACCGGAGCGTGGACCTGCTGTAAACTGTGCATGCAGGATTTTGGTTGCACATTCCTTACTGATGAGCTGAGGTGGAGCTGGGTGGTGATGCCAGTGCTAGGAGCAGAACACCTGCACAGCAGAGAGGTTTGACTGCACAGAGACCATAAGAAATCAGTTGCTGGCTCAGCGCCTGTGGCTCAAGCGGCTAAGGTGCCAGCCACATACACCTAAGGTGGCGGGTTCGAATCCCCAGCCTGGGCC